AAAACAGTCTAATGGACATTTAAGATTATATAACAGTGAGACCTGACTCGTCATCCGCCATAAAATAAATGCTGCTGTTTGGAGGTTTCGTGCAGTAAAGACGATGAGATGCATTAAAGGTAGTTTCTGTTTTTTTATCAGACCAGAACCACCAGAGGAGACGGATAAATCTAGGTCACTGTGACACAGCGATTTAGATTGTTTTTGTTCCTGCAGGTATAGTCAGAGCAGCTTTAGCCAACATGCTAATGTGAGCAAGGCAGCGAAGTGTAAGACAATGAGAGCAGCTATACCCAGACATGACCTGTAAAATACAGGGTTTACCCAGAGTTCACCTTTCACACATGCACAACACAGCAGGAGGTTTTCTTCGAAACTGCGGAGAGTCACCTCGTCTGGAGAAAAAATATGGAGGAACAGTTCAGTGCACGTCTGAAAGCAGATTTGTTTCCCCTCTAGATTTACCACAAATCAGATGTGATCCCAGACTCACGTAGAGGATAAAAATGAAAAATGTGATTTGCTTTAAATGAATCAATGAATCAGATACAAATATTCTTTATTAAAGAAGCTTGGTTGCCAGTTTGATGAATTGCTCAGTCAGGACCACGAACATTGGCATTAGAATTAAATGTAAGAAGAGTTAAACATAAAGAAAAGGAAACAACTTCTTCATTTTATGTTTTGTCTTATTTTTTGTTGGTTGGTTTTATTTTAAAAATGATTCCAATAGAATTTATATTATTTTGGATTATTCTCAAATCTAAAATCTGCTCAGACAGAGATTCACATTTTTATTTTTCCACGGCCTTAATTTGTTGTTTAAGCATTTAGCACAATGTTCATTGAACTCTGTGATGCAGAAATTGGCCTTGAACAAAATAATAAGTGACGTCCAAACGCATTATCCTTTTTTTATATTGTTCTCAGGAGGCCTCTGCAGGTGCAGCACCTCTGTTTGTAGGAATGACTCATTTTACTGTTGTGTCGGGTAAACAGCACCCATTTGTATTTCCAACATATCATTACCGTGATTTATAGAC